CAACGACACGGAGTTAGAGCCACCAACATTTGCAGTCTTTAAAACTCGTGAACTTGGTCACTTCATCCCAGACATCATAAGTATCACTCTCAGCTTCTTTCTGTCAATCTAATCACTATGGGAGTTCTCCGTGGCGATCTCGACGAGGATCAACGTCGTGTATATGATCATGTCATTGACCAGATCCGCGAGGGACCACCTGAGCAGCGATATCATTATATCACTGGCTTCCCCGGGACTGGAAAATCATTCTTAACGAGAGCCTTAATAGAAGATTTGGCTACTGATCACACGGTTGTTACTTTATCGTGGTACGGTATCGCAGCTCGAAGTCTTCGAGTCTCCGCCAAGACCATAATGTCATATTTTGGGCTTACTTTTGCCAAGAGCGGGATCGTAGGTGACAATAGTTACTTGCGATCGGTCGATATCACGCAGGCAAAGATGATAGAGTCCCTGCGAGAGCACGGATCCGGTGACATTCAGCGCCCAAAGCTGGTCATGATTCTCGATGAAGTGGAAGCCTTGCATGATACGATTCTGGACGCTATGGCCTGCGCTGTGCGAGAAATTCGGCTCTCTACTAGTTCCCACACTAGCTTCAATTTATGTTGTAGAGAAGACCCTTTTGGGGATGCAGCCATAGTTATGATCGGAGACCCATGCCAGATTGGGAGGATACCGCTCACTTCGAACTCTCCTGAATATCCCCCCAGCATTTATCCCACGAAGGAGTTCTGGCACGCCAGGGCATGGGGGCAGATGCAACCCACTGTCTATTATCTCAGGAACTTCCATCGTGGATGTGATGAAGATTATCTTAATCTACTGAGTGAGATAATATCTGCACCAAGAATAGAGCCGAGTAAACCTCACTTCTCAAGCCGTTCGATGAAGATACTGCAGTCCATCCGAGATAGGGATGGTGGCAAGCAACCACCTAGGTAATCGGGATGCTGCCTGTGCTCGAAGTTACTCTTGTTGTGCCTATAACAAAACTGATGGAATATAACGGACTCGGGGAGTGTCTAACATGTGTCGAATCTCCATTGTATTCCCAGGGCCAGCATAGATGTCCTGATAATCAGGTTTGACCATGTTGTGGTATGCCTCACAAATGCTGAGGTAGACAAGCGCAATAACCAATACCTCAAGCTAATACCGGGCGAAGCATACGAGTTTGATGCGATTGATACTGAAGGCTCCACATGTTCCTACGATATATTCGACTATAAAGCGGTGACAAAGCTCGGATACAAGGATAAAGTGGTCTTGAAGGAAGGATGCAGAGTGATGGCAACAGTGAACAGTTCTGCTAGATCCGAGCGAGAGAGCTTCACCAACGGGCTCATGGGAAAAGTGATTAGGATCTACCGAGACTTAGCTGGCCAACCCACAGTGGTGGTAAAGTTTGACGACCAAGATCATAACGTGCGCGTGAGGAGAGAGACTCTGACAGTTTACCGCCGAGACGGTTCCATCCGGTTCCAGCGACAGCAAATACCCCTGGCAGTGGCGCATGCTGCAACAGCGCATAAGCTAATAGGATCTTCTCTGCCAGGGGTATGGCTGCACCTACCTGCAATCCATGGCAGGCAGGATGAGACTATCAGGCAGTATTGGGACTCACCATGGCTGGAGGGTCTGATCTATACGGCTTTAAGCCGAGTGGGGAGTCGTGAGCGGATCCGGGTATATCCTCTCCGGAATACAACGGATCCTGGGCTGGTGCATCCGATCTTCCTCATGAATCCAGAGGCTCTACGTTTCGATGATGCATGTGCTGAACAAGACTGGTTGCGATCACTAGAGCGAGAACCGGATCCCGCCGTGGATACCTCGACCTCGGAGGCAAGGAGAGAGAATCACTGTGGTGTATCTCAAGCCGAGGTGGACGCCCACATTGATAAAGTGATGAGAGAACTGAAGGCATGCAAGTCCAAGATGATGCTTCTGCATCACTATACCACCAAGCGCCGGACGACACCTTCAGGTGATCCTATCAATCCAGTCTTCTTCTGCATGCAGAATCCCTCTCTGGAAGAGAAAATCGATGGACTCTCTGTAGAGACCCAAATCAAATTTTATGATTCTCTCGATGAGAAGCTCAACCTCACGCATCCCAGGCCGAGTCGAGACCATCTACAGAGCTACATGCGAGATTTTGCCAGCGCGGCTATTGCTGGTGCCATCCCTTCTCGGGTACCATGTGAAGATCCTGATGTGGCAACAGCGGTGGTGAGCGACATAGAGAATCAGCAGGGCACGCCAGAGGAGGGTTGGTTGAGTGGCGAAGATCATTCGCAGATGACATCACATAATCGAGAGCATTCACCTGGTGATCCGAGTGTCGCGCCCGATCAACAAGACTCCAGTTATGATGAGACCTCCGCCGATGATGATGATGATGATGATGATGATTATTCTACGGAAAACCCGATTGAGATCCCAGTGCAGCCGGACGACCCACCTGCTGATGAACCGGAGTTCGCAGACGAACCCTTCACAGTGTATGAAGGGAATATGTTCGAAGTGCTGTCAGTCTACTTGAAGGAGAAGCCACACTATCGGTTGGTGAGCAGCACTCTCGAGGAATTGAGGGGGGCTCGCAAAACATGCTATCTCGAGTGCCGTCGCTCCATTTCTTCTCGGAACGAGAGATTAGAGCCTAAGAAGGGTAGCAAGCCCGATTGGCGGCTGTGGCCGACATTCACCTGCCCTCTTAAAAGGGTGAAAGTCAGCTTCCGTGAAGGTCGTTGCATGTTTTATCCTCTACGGTTGGTTGGGGCTACAGCAGAAGAGTGGCGCAATCATGAACACTATCCGGGGACCGAGTCGTGCAGGAGTGCGACGATTCCTCCCGATGTCGTAGATGATTGGATCGTTGCCCTGTCGTCTAGGCCGTGCTCAACAAATGGAGAACTGAAGAAGATGGCTATGCAGAAAAACATCTCCGGAGGCTACTGTGCTCAAACAACAGAATTCTTGACACAACGAGGCCTCGGTAACTATGAAGCGGTTAGAGCTGTTATACGATCAATTAAAGAATCCAAGGACTGCGGACTCAGCGTAACAGCCTTTACTCGATCTCTCATGGAGATGGCGTGCGGGGCGGATATGCTGAGAGGAGAAGTATCTGAGATTATCGGTGGTCTGGATGCCCTGGAACGTGGCACTCACTCAAGTATAGAGTTGAACCTCGCTCGCAAGGCCGATTGCTGTCTGGTACTTGAGGATATCCTCTGTGAGTCTCAGCCTGGGGTTGACGATCTCACAGTTATGTCACTGAGAAGCTACTCTGCGGTCATTACTTCTCCAAGAATGCTGCGCAATCTGAGGGGCTGTTACACGATGGGAATCGATGCAACATTCAACCTCACGCACGCCGACCTTAAGCTGGGAGTTATTTGTTCCCTGCCAAAGACCTCGACAGCTCAGCCCATCGCGATAGTTATCATGACGCAGGAATCCACTGAGTGCATCGAGCATGCGTTGAAGCAACTCACCGATGCTGCTGCACATCTCAAAATGCTCGGTGGTGTCCCTAGAGAAGTTGTCCTGGATGGGAGTGCAGCAATCCATGCAGCAGTGATGTCTCATTATGGAGGAGCCGAGGAGAGCCAGCCCCACTGTATAAGCTGTTACTTTCACGTTCTGAAAAGAGCGAAGGATTGCAAGGCCAAGGTTCGACTCAGTACCTCCTTGTGGTTAGAAATCAAGAAGGATTTAGCATTGCTAGGGGAAGCTCATAGCCGCAAAGACTGGTTGCGATTGCGAGAGCTCTTTATGAAGAAATGGACTGAAGGTGAGTGGATAGTATCTCTGTAAGATAATCGTGATCAGCCTCTCCTGTTTCCAGAACGTAACCTAGAGTTATCGGATGCGGAAGCTGTCCGCCTATTCCTTGTTGAGTTTGCCGGCTATTTGGAACCGTCTTCTTGGCGTAGCCGATGGTACAGAAATTGCAGTGAAGTCTGCGGGCCTAGAACCAATAACGGTGTGGAGCGCTTCAATAAGGAATTAAAGAAGAGTCTCCTACCGTCTCGTTCGCGATTGTCTCTCAACGAGTTCGTCACGTTCCTCAGAAGTGATGGGGATTGGGCCGTAGTATCGCAGTACGGCCGAGAAAACGTGCGAGGACAGCCTAATGAGAAGATGCAGACTGAAGCCGTACAATACTCTACGCGAGAGAAGTTCTCCGAGGTCCCTCAATCTTGGGTCCCAGCGACTGTGGGGTTAAATGGGGATAAGGTTACACTACCAAGGTGGTTATTTCCCAAATCCCCCAAGGATCAACTTGTTGCGAAGAATATGCGGGAGCATCTGGAAGGTCCAAGCGGAGCCGATGCGAAGAAATTGGTCGATGGTAGCTATGCTTCACTGAGTGAGGCTTATGCGCTCAGACGGACTTACTGTATCGTGGGGTGCCATAGCATGGCTGGTTCATCTGGGGATCAAGCGAATACGCTCTGGTGCACCTGTTCTCTGTGGGGTCGAGAACTCTGCTGCGGCCATACGGTATGCCTGAGCCACCACCTAGAGGAGAGCGACGCCGATCTCATTTGGAAGGCCGCTGGTTGTCGGTTCAAGAGACCTAAACAGCGCAGGAATAATAGGGGGCAGTTCGACGATTCGACCTTACCCTTCAATGCCAGACATGGATTAAACCCCAAGCAACATCAGAAGAGAGGCGCTGGAGCTTCATCCCTTGAGAAGGCTCGAAAGGAGTCGAATGCTGCAATGGACTCGAATTATGATGCCCATCCTCAAGATATGCCTATGGACGAGACTGCAAGAACAGGTAAAATTCGGATTTCTCTACTCGTCGCTCCCGTATAAACTTTCCAAGTTAGATCGTCTAACACAGTGGAGACAGATACTGCTCTTCACGAGCCACTTCTACCTGTTGGTGAGAAAATCGCGACGGCTTCCTCCGAACACGACATGCTGCCCATACCCCTGACCGATACGAAGCAAAAAGAGTATGCCTGTTCTCAGGGCTGCCAAGAACTGGCTAGTCTATCAAGAGAAGCTGATCTTTCACGTACTTTAAAGATCCACCATCGCTCCGACAGCTAAGCTC